TGTTCTCTTTTCAATAATCTCAAAACATAAAGAAACTGAAAATTATTTGAAAACAAAATGTTTGTATACATTAATGATACACTGATTATTCTTAAGTAAGCACCTATATATGCACTGTAAACAACTTCTATGCAAAATCCATCCCAGAGGGGACAGGAAAGAGAGCCCCCCAGCCATTCAAAGGGGTGCAGGCAGCACCATTCAAAGACATGAAGCACCTACACACTTCAGCTATGTCCACACTACAAGTGCATTTTTGCACCAGAAAATTTACAGTAAATCGTAAGAAGAGAGGGCTTTTTGCACAAGAATTATTCCTCTTTCAATGAAGAATAAGCCTTTTTGCACAAGAGCTCTTGCGCAAAAAGGTGTATGTGGATGGCAAACGGGTTTATTGCGGAAAAACAGCCTATCAGAGAAAGCACAGGTGCTCTGATTGCCATTAACAGAATGGCAATCAGACCTTTGTTGTGCAAGAGCATCCATGGCAGCATGGACACTGTTGCGCAAGAATTTTTTGTGGAAGATCTCTTCTGTAAAAAGGTTCTTGCACAAGAAGTTTACAGTGTAGACGTAGCCTTCTACCCCTATATGTCAAAGAGGTATAATGCCTCCAGAGGCATCCACTACCATCTGTGATCCCCCGCAACTCTTCCTGGGTGATTTGCTAAAACACACAATTTGGCCCTGAATGTTCATAGAGCTAAACTGGGGATACAAAGAAACAGTCATGTGCTTACAAAATATTGTTTGATTTTTATGACTCGTGAATGCATTTTCACATTATCTAGAATGGCTTATTTTCCTATTTCTTCCACTGAAATGTGCTTCCTCTATTCCAGAAGCTTTCAGTATCTTAATCTTTTCTCGAGAAATTTAGAGAAGAAATCTTTATTTGGAAAATAATAGACTTATTTGAGATCTATCTAGTGCTTCCCAATTGAAGATTGGCCAGAAATAATACAAGAACAGCCCTTTGCATGATATTTTGGCAGTTCTGCTTCTGGCTAAAGCCAAGATGTGTAGAGTGTCATGAAAATTTAAAACAAAAAAGTTAACTAAATGTTTATTGAAGTTAAACATTTTCAGATTCACTTTACATCAAGTTTAGTTGTGTGTGCAGCTTCTTTGTGTATGTCAGTTCTTGTTTTACCCACAATTTTTCATCTGTTTTAAGACTTAACACAACATTAAGACATGAAGTGCTATTGAGAACAGAAACTGGCAGGATCTGAAGGGCAATTTTGTTCTCTTTTGTTTCTGATACTGTCATTTAGATGCTCACTTAAAGCTAAAACTTTTAAGTTTTGCTTTTCCTTTTAAACTCTAAATGTGAATTTGTTAAATGCTGATTTATAATGTTTTTCTCTTAAGAGAAAAAGGAATACTTAAGAGCTCA